TCTCCAATCATGACGCGACCGAAGGCGGCAGGCCAAACACCAATATCTTGGAAACCAAACCCTCTAATCGCCTACTCCTGTCTCTTTTTCTTGACTCTTTTTCTCTTCTCATGACCTCTTTTTGAGACCCTTTATCGTTTAATTTGTTTCTGTTAGTTATTTCCCGTTGTTGGCTGCGATAGCCCATCACCTGCAACAACGCCTCTGATTATTTGCGAAAGGAATCCATTACAACAGACATTGGGAAACATACTTTCGGCTCCCTCCCCCGGCTGGGGCACAATAACCGCTCCTCCTCCTCCTCCACGTTTCACCTCCATCAACTCTCTCCTCCTCATCCAACATGTCTTCCACGGCGACAGACACGGCGGACTCGGTGACCGACACAGCGTCGGCCACCGGGACCGATTCCATTGTTAGCTCCCTCGCCAGCTCCATTGCTAGCACGATAGCTTCCTCCGCTCTATCGGCCTCCGAGACTCTCAGCGGCTCAGAAACTCTCTCAACAGGAGCTTCCACGACATCTTCAGGAACCACCGCAACGCAAAGCAGTGCCGCGGACAAAGACAAGGGCATCGGCATTGTCAGCTTCCTTACTGCGGTCGCTGTTGCCATGGTAGTCTTTGCAGTTCAGATCTTGCTATTCTTATTCCTGCGTAACAAACTGGCCCGAATTTTTGTAAGCTTTGGACTCCATTTACCCAATGCAACACCCCCTAACCTTCTTGCAGCAAGCCAAAGACATATCTGGTACCCGAACGCGAACGAACCGAACCTCCTCCACGAACGGTATCAGGCATGCTCAAAACCCTATGGCACTATAGCGACCGCGAAGTCATTGAAAAGTGTGGACTCGACGCCTACTTTTTCCTTCGCTACCTCAAGACACTCCTCATCATCTTCATCCCCATCTGTGGCATTGTCATGCCCATCCTGATTCCTCTCAACTACGTCGGCGGAAGGGGCAAGAACATTGACATTAAGGACGACGACGCTGGCAGGAACGAAACTATACCGACAGGTCTGGACACACTTGCGTGGGGCAATGTTAGTAGTAAGAATACTAGCAGGTATGGTGCCCATTTGCTCATGGCCATTCTCGTCGTCATTTGGGTTTGTTGGGTCTTCTTCTTCGAACTTCGAGTCTACATCAAAGTGCGCCAAGATTATCTCACCAGCGCCGAGCACCGACTCAGGGCTTCAGCCACGACGGTTCTTGTCAACTCTATCCCCGGAAAATGGCTCAGCGAAGAGGCTCTAATGGGCCTCTTTGATGTCTTCCCTGGAGGCATTCGAAATGTCTGGATCAACCGAGACCTGTCGACGCTGCTAGACAAGATTAAGGATCGGAATAAGGTTCACCTCATGCTCGAGCAGGCCGAGACGGATCTCATCAAGGCCGCGAAGAAGGCACAGCTGAAGCAGAAACAAGCACAGGAAAAGAAGGAACGCAAAGAGATGAAGCTCAAGGCGATGAGCAAGAAAGAAAGGGCCGAGCGTAATGCGCGAGAGGATGCTGAAGCTCAGAGAATTGCCATGACAGCTGAAGGCATGACCGCCGGAGACAAGCACGAGGTTCCTCATACCATCGACGCTGGGGTTCGTGAATCTCGATATGAGATTCTCAACCAAGCATCAGCAAACAACACCGAAGAGGAAGACAAGGCCTCATCTAAGGGCTTCAAGGTTCCGCTTCTAGGCGATCCCCTCTCAAAGGTTGGCCACGGCATCATGGGCGTTGTTTCTAAGGCCGGCAACAACGTGGAAGATACCTTGGAGACAACTAATGGCTTCATGGGTCTGTCACAGGCCAATGATAACCGTGCCCCCTCTCGAAGCTCTGACCGATACCGAGTTCGCCCCTCTGTCGATGAAGACGACAACCGTATCTCGGCCTCGGAGACGCTCCGCCAGAACAACAACTCAAGGAACACTTATAGAATGTCGGTCGAGAGCACAGCTGAGATCAACCCAAAGCCCTCGCGTGAGCCTATCGGACTTGGAGGAAACACTGTACGGAAACTCGCGAACCCGGAAGATATCTACACCACCAAGGATTCCAAGTGGTGGCAGTTCTGGAAGCCTCCTCCTGGCGCCTACACATCTCCTGTCCCCCAGGGAGCTGCGGCTGCGGCATACAAGGAACTGAAGGAGAGCAACAAGAAGACTCTGTGGCAGAAGATCAAGTACTCGCTCCCGTTCGTCAAGCCCGAGGTTGAAGAGGAACCCATTGAGTATCCCTTGGCATACAACCCTGATTACACTGAGGAACAAGATCAGCCTGCGGAATGGGAGAAGTACCTTAAGAAGAAGAATCGCCCATCGCATCGTCTCCCCCTCTTTGGCGTCACGTGGCTCTTTGGAGTGCCTTTTGTCACCAAAAAGGTCGACACAATCTATTGGTGCCGAGAAGAGCTTGCTCGTCTCAACTTGGAGATTGAGGAAGATCAGAAGCACCCTGAACGATTCCCCCTGATGAACTCGGCCTTTATCCAGTTTAACCACCAGGTTGCCGCCCACATGGCTTGCCAAAGCGTCATCCATCACGTTCCCAAGCAGATGGCCCCGAGAATGAACGAGATTTCTCCCAAGGACGTGGTCTGGGACAACATGGCATTCACTTGGTGGCAAGAGTGGATTCGATCAGCCCTTGTCTTTGTTCTCGTTGCTGCCATGATCTTCCTGTGGGCTATCCCTGTTGCTTGGACGGCGGCACTGAGCCAACTGGACCAGCTCATTCAGGATAACGAGTGGCTTCACTTTCTCAAGGACAACCCGACTGTACACAATATCGCCAAGGCTGTGGCCGGTGTCTTGCCCGCTGTGGTGCTCGGTCTGCTGCTCTTCCTCATCCCCATCATCCTCGACTTTCTGGCCAGTTTCAAGGGGGCAAAGACTGGATCGCAAAAGGTCGAGTTTGTCCAGGTCTTCTACTTTGTCTTCTTGTTCATCCAGGTGTTCCTCATCGTTTCCATCGCATCTTTCTTTGCGGCATCTATTGACGAGCTGGTCAATAACGTGAAGCAGTTACAAACTGCCAAAGCTGTTCTTGATCTTCTCGCGACGAACCTACCCAGCGCTTCCAACTACTTCTTCTCGTACATGATCTTGCAGGCCATGTCGACAAGTTCTGGAACCCTCCTCCAGATTGGAACGCTGGTCATGTGGTACGTCATTGCGAGGATCCTCGACAGCACTGCACGTAACAAGTGGTCACGAAACACCAAGCTCAACCAGGTCAAATGGGGCGCCTTCTTCCCCATTTACACCAACTTTGCCTGTATCGCGCTGATCTACTGCGTGATTGCGCCGCTCATTTCCATCTTTGCTATCATCACCTTTGGGCTCCTGTGGTTTGCCCAGCGATACGCGATGCTCTATGTCACTCGGTTCGAGCATGATACTGGTGGTGTCTTGTATCCTCGTGCTATCAACCAGACTTTCACCGGCATCTACTTCATGGAGCTCTGCATCGCGGGTCTGTTCTTCATTGCCAAGGACGAAAAGGGCAAATCTGCATGCACGGCCCACGGAATTGTCATGATTGTTGTCCTCATCCTTACTATCCTCTACCAGGTGCTCCTTAACTACTCTTTCTCGCCACTCTTCCGTTACCTGCCAATCACGTTCGAGGACGAGGCGGTGCTGCGTGATGAAGCGTTTCAGAGAGCTCAGGATCGCCGGCTCGGTCTTCTTGAGGAGGATGAGCTACCAGAGGAAACTGAAGATGAGCAAGAGAAGACACACCAGCCAGAAACTACTCAAGATATTGAGATGCGCAAGTTCGGTAGCATCCGTCGCCCAGTGAAGCAGGTCGGCACTTGGGCCAGGGACGGAGGAAACCAGATTCGCAAGCTGGCAGCGGGAGGCAAATCGAGGGACAAGAACAAGAAGGCTTCAGAATACCGGCGACAGCATCGCCAGAAGGATGTCGAAGCCCAGCGAGCTATTGGAGAGGCACTTTTCGGAGGAATTCACGACGAAATCGAGGATCTCACTCCAGATGAAAGAGATGCCCTCGTTCGACACGCGTTCCAGCACGAGGCACTTCGAGCACGCCGGCCTACAGTGTGGCTCCCTCGTGATGATTTGGGCGTCAGCGATGACGAGATTCGACGAACACAAGAATACAGCGAGAACATTTGGATCAGCAACGAGGGCACAGCTCTCGATAGCAAGGTCCGCGTCGTCTACGGCAGGGCACCACCCGACTTTTCAGAGGTAGACCTGATCAATCTGTAAAACAAACAAACAAGACAAAGAAAAAGAAAACAGGACAAGACGAGGAGGAAATGTACAACGATTTTTTTACGGCCAGGCCTTTTTGTTACTCTTTTTGCGCGGCGTCTCTGGAAAGAAGGAGGTTTCTGTGGCTCGGAGCAGCATCACAAAGGCACCTTGCAGGCAAGATGCAGTTTCACTGACAGAATGAATGGCAACAAAATACCCTGGCTCAAGAAGGGGGGGCATTTTGGTCTCGATAGAAAAACAAGCAATGGAGCTGGGGAGAGATTTCAATTTTTTTTTGCTTATTAGACTTTATGAATACACGTACAACTGCGATGTTGAATTGTATCATTATCATCACTCTCTGAGCCGAGATCATTATGCCCATGTAGCTGTGAGCACATCTAACCGTAATAGATGTGTCTTAAACAGGCATGAGATGCAGTCCTGTCAGCGAGATCTAAGATAGTTTTTCGGTGTATTGGAACCCATTTCCGGGACGTGGTAAAGGATCCGAGACTAAAGTCATCATAATAGTCCCCAAATCGATAGTCTAAGACCGAAGGCAGCCTGGTCCAAGGTCAAGATGAAAGTCACCATAGTCCTCGAAATAATAGTCCAAGACTTTAGGCAACCTATTCAAGGAGCTGTAGCATCTTGTGATTGGGAATCTGGGTGGATGGGAGCCCCCAAGATGGCAAAGGTGACCTCAGGTGAGCCAACTGACCTACTTATAGTCAAGTAACTTGCATATTTATCACGTGATAAGAATGGCGTAATTGGTTTAGTGGTAAAAATTCTCCGTTGCCATTCGAGTAACGTCGGGGAGCCCTGGGTTCGATTCCCAGATTACGCATTAGTTTTTTGCCTTTTTCTCACATTCTCCAAGCGAGGAGAGATGTCTGTTTCTTTTTTGGAACATTTTTGAGACCTTGTTCGATGTGTTGGGTGTTGTGGTGAGCTCGTATGCTCATGACCTCCCTCCTCTCCGTCTACTTCGGTTGTGCAACCCTCTACAGTACCATTGACCCAACTCACATCATGGTAGCAGATTCAAATGAATGCAGTTAAGAGTAGAATGTTAATTTTATTACAGAGAATGATGAATATTTATACCGCTATCTACCACTTTTTATAATAGCCATGTCAGGCTGTGTATGTCTGTATCCAAGTCTAATGATGCCGCAGCAACAAGTCAGAAAACGCCCCCCTGTAAAGCGGCTCAGCAAACCGGCATGTCGTAACGGTCTGGGTCTCTCTCGACGCGCACGTCAAGGCGCCGCGTGCAAGTCTCCCTGGCGCTGGCCTTGGTCAAGCAAGTCCCCATTTAAACGCCGATCCAATGAAGCCTTTCCCTTGTCCTTCTCTTTTCAATGCTCATGGCAGAGTGAGAGTCATGTCATCTATAGTCCACATTTTCGTCGCACGTCTGCCCTCGTCTCTTCAAGCTCCTTGCGTATCATGTCGTTAAACTCTTCTGGGTTATCCAGGTACAGGTGGTGGCCAGCCTTGGGAATCAAGAGGACCTTTGTTGTGCCGTTCTCATTGCGCTTCTCCTCTTCTGTTCCGTGGAGCAGTGCCTTGAGTCTTCTGTCATTCAGCTTCTCCTGTGCTGCTAGACCGCCAGCCACATCCATCCAGTCATTTTCGCCGTACATGAAAACGATGGGGAGACCTGTTTCCCTCTTGGGCGGGGCGCCTTCAGGTTGGGGAATCAGTTGTCGGCCAACTTCTTGGATACGGTTGATAACCGGACGACGAGCATATGCGCCGGGGGCGAGGATATATGCCAACGCATACTCGCCGCTACCCTTTTGCTTGAAAATGGAGAATGAGTAGTCGTGGAGAGCCTGAGACTCGAGTTGCGGGAGATGGTTGAATCTCCGATAACTCCAGCCCGACACGAATCGGGGGCCAAGGGGGCCACTCATGCGAACAATGCTGAAGGGCGAAATGTTCTGGTCCCAAAGCCAGACAAACCAGCCCGGTAGGGGGCGTCTCAAGACATTGGAGGCAGGCTTGTGCTTGGAGAGCGTACCGCTGTGCTCCGTGGTGCTCTGCTGGTCCTCGGTAAATTCGTTGGCCAGAGAGGAAGAGTCGGGATCAGGCATGGAAGCGTTGACAGCATAAGGGTCCTCCGGCACACCGACCGGCGAGGCAAGAATAAGCTTCTTGAGGCGTCCGGGATACTTGATGGCGTAGGAAACAGCAAGGTAGCCGCCCAGAGAATGACCTAGCAGGGTGAACTGCTCCAACTTTCTGGCCTTTCGCCATTCTTCCAGAGCATCGATAAACCAGCTCTCAGCTTCAAGAACCTGATCCTCCTTCTTCTTGGCGTGAATCTTGAATGGCGGCCGAGTCGAGTTACCCATGCCGAGCATGTCCAGCGCATACAGCTTCAGTCCCCTCATACGGGAAAGAGGCTCAAAGTTCTTGTAGAAGAAACCGAGGCCGGCGCCATATCCGTGGATCATGACAAGAGCATCTTCCGTCTCCTCCCCGACCCGTTCGACCGTAACTTCGTTGAGGGCGCGATTTTTGCCGGACAGGTGGACCATTGTCCGCCTCCATACTCGGGTGCCATATGGATCGGGGCGGTCGGGGGTATCGATATTTGTAATGCTGTCGTTGGCCTCTTTCAGGTGAGGCATGAGCTTCAAAAGGTTGCGCTCAACAGCCTGAGGGGCAAGACTCGTCCACTGGACATTTTGTTAGTGCTATTCCGACTGCGCTCCGATATTGCGCCGACTTAGACTTACCCATTGGTAGGCAGCGTCCTTGTAACCAAGGGGGAACAGAAAAGCGGAAGAAGGCTTAAGTTCAGGCTGATGTTTAAATTCCTCAGGGGCATCAGCGGCCCTGGGGGGTCGCACGGCACCTTCTGCGGTAGACATCTTGCAAGAGGCAGCGGGTAGCGAAGCGGCGAGAGTAAGACGCGATAGTTGCAACGCCGCGAAAGTTGGTTGAATCTTGAGCATGGGCGACAAAGCCGGGGCCCTGGCCTCTTTATGAAGCCCCAGGCAGCCAAAGAGACGAAAAAAAGGGAGCCCCAATCAATTGATGACGCCTCGACCGTGACGCAAGTCGAGAACACGGCCTGCCGGAGTTAACGCAGAGATCGGCTTTTGGATGTTGCCGATGCCGACGCCCGGAGGCTGTGGTGTGTTAATAAGATGAAGTCCGCTGCGGAATCGACGAGACGGGGATACCCATTGCCAAGTCCGCAGCAATGGAGTGGAAGCGGATTATAAGATGAAGCAGAGAAAGGAGTGTAAAAGGGCTCGCCCCCCGAGGTCAAGGAGTTGTTGAGGCAAGTAAAAAAAAGTAGAGAACGTCAAGGAGCCTTGTTAGTGGGAACCTGGAAGACGGGAGGCGGGATATATCGGTTTCTGCCGCTCTTGCCTTGGCCTTGCCTTGTACTGGGTACCGGTTGCACCAACGATGTTTCCCCAACGTGTTGGGAGAATCCACTGCAATTGGCGCTCGGATCACTCTAGCCCATCAGGTACCCCATACAAGTACCGACAGGCCGAGCTTGGGGCTTTTCAAGTTCTTCAAGGCCTTGTCCAGGGCTGCACTGCAGGGCAGGAAAAAGGCCGCTAGCTTAGAGGGGAGCTCCCTGTTCTTTTTGGCTTGTGATGACGATGGACCATCCACCGAGAAACGTTCCACCACCCGCCACGTTCCCCAGAAAAAGTCACCAGTAAAACTAACATCAACCACCACCACCACCACAACCACCTCTCGCATCGCCCACGTTTTGCGCTACCCTGAGCCGTCAGCGGCTACAAGTCCGATTAATACTCTCAAAGCGACGAATCCCCTTCTCCCGTGCTTCCTTCCCGTCGCTTATCGGACCCGAACTTGACCGCCCATCGATCCATTCCGATTCGATCCCCCTCCCTCCCTTCGACTCGCACCTGAGCTCCTCTGCAGTGCATGGCCTCGTGCTCTCCCTAATCGGCTGCTCTTCAGCCTCTTGGGACCGACTCGGCTGACTAGACCACTGGATCCCCCCCATTGCGACATGGCCGACGACGTCGATTCCATCGTCAAGGGCGCCTCGGCCCCTAGCCAGGGCGTCAAAGAGGTTGCTGGCTCAAGTTCTTTGGGCAAGCAAGGCGATCCTCTTATCCATACTCCGAGTTCACCCTCCATGATTTACCTGAATCTGTTGATTCTCGAAGCGTCACTGCGTGCCCAGTTTCTTGAACTGCGCGCCAGGAAGCGCCATCATACCTTCTTCCTTGCGCTCCTGACGATCTGGATCGCCATGTTTGGATATGCTCTCTTCTTTGCCCCCCGAGAAGACGGTAGGGGCGTCGGTGGCTCTATATACTGGGCCGTGGAGGGTGCCGAGAAGGTGTGTTTTATGGGTGGCATCATCACCGCGATTCTTGTGTGGGCAACTGGGATCTGGGAGCGCGGTATCAGATGGCCGCGACGCTGGTTTGCCGTCTCCAACAGAGGACTGCGCGGCTTTAACTGCAAGCTCGTCATAATACGGCGACCGTGGTGGGCTGAAGCACTCTCGACTCTTGGCTTTTTCTTGACTTACGGCCTCTTCTCGCATACCGCCAGCTCATCCTACCGATACGTCGAGCCTAGCCTCTTGCGCGAGGTCGAAAGGGAGCTTCAGATCTCGAACGATAACCATCCCACGCTTATACTTCCCCACGAAGATGAGGAGCGGGGTGGTCATGAAGAGGACCTCGCGCCTGGTGGCGACTATGTCAAATTGCTACTCCTTGCCAAGCCCTTCTCAGCTACCTTTAGAGAGAACTGGGAACTTTACCGAACCGAGTATTGGGAGAAGGAGAATGAGCGGCGAGCATTGCTGCGCGAAAAGGTCAAGGAACGGGATCACCAGCTTGCAAGGCAGCAATATGGGTGGTTATGGTGGCTCCCATGGCGACAACCCCAGCTCCGACGACAAGACCCTGAGAAGGCGACTCACCACCCGCGCCATCACGTAGTCGAAAAGGAACGTAGGCGCCGGGGGAGCAGTGTTCGCCGTGCCTCGACCAGCTCTACCAGGAGCCAGACGCCGACTCTGGATGGTGAAGACCACCAGGTCAGCCGTCGATCTAGTAGTGGCTCGATTTCTGGACGCCGGAAGAGGCTCTCGACAAGCTCCAAGCCAAAGCGACCCGGAAGCGACTCACGATCTGTCACCCCGGATTTCCCATCGCCCCTGGCTCGAGAGAGCAGCGCAACGCATACTCCAGATTCGGGGCTAGAAGGCGTGAGGGAGCTGCGAAGCTCAGGGTCGAGATCAACTATTGGTTCGAGAGAGCGCGATGGCTGAGGGACATGAATAAGTAGGACAAGGGGTTCTAATAACTAGCAAATGATATGTTTACGACTACTCTACGCATGTATAGCATCCAAAATCTCTGGTGGGGAGTTTATATGGTGAAGTCTTAGAAGTGCGTCACGGTCATCTTATCAATCTCCCTTGACTCGTGGTCACTCAGAGGGGTTGCCCCTAGGGCGATGAGTGCCTCGGCTGTTTCTGGTTTCCATCGCTTGGTTAGGATAGTCACCAGCGAGTGACGGGATCCCGGGTAGAAATCGCTGGGGGCGATATAATTGATATCAGCACCGAGGTCAAGCAGCGGTTGCATAGAAGCAGCTGAGGCGCCGTTCTTTATGCCCAAGTATTGGGCCGCCCAGAGCAACGGTGGGTAGCCATCAGCGTCCGGATCGTTTGGCCCTGCGTGTCCTCCCTCTATGATCATCTTGATGGCCTCCACGTTCCCGTTTATGACGGCAACATGCAGCGCTGTGGTGCCGCAGGGACGCTTAGTCGCCGTCTCTCGGATCTCTATCGAGGCGCCGCGACGGAGGAGCAGC